CATGCTTTCCCAAGAAGTGACAGTTCCAAGTGCTAATTCAAAGAGCCAATCTTTAGCCTTTTCCATAAGAGAGAATGGAAAGGCTTTCATCTTCAGAATATTCCCATCCACATTAATTGGTGTCATACTCGAGCACACCACTTCAAATTCCTTAAGATGCTTGTTTGGATCTTCCATAGACAGCTCATGGTATTTGGGAATGTGATGTAGCAAACTAGACTTCAATTCAAACTCATCGGTTTTGCCTTGGACTGCCTTAAGGTATTGAATGCAAAGGGGAACGACATTGTCCAATCCTGAGGCTGAAAGTTCCTTGATTGTTCTATTGTCAACAGCCATGTCTTGTTCCTCTTCCGATTCTGTTTCTGTTTCAACTTCAAATTCAAATTCAGAACTAGAACTAGGTGGATTGAATTCTAGCTACTTCCTCTTCCTTTTCAAAGTTCGCTCAAGATCATTGTCAAATTCCAATATATGCTCAAGAACAGGTTGAGAACTGCGAGTCATAAACTAGTACCTAAAACAAAGAAAACAAAACAAAACAAAATTAGAAACACAAGAAAAACACGAACAAAAACAAATGGGAAGATTAGCAATTTTGCTAATCCTCGGCAACGGCGCCAAAATTTGATGTGGTAGAAACTAACACACAAATTAAACCTTATAATTTAGACAATTGTAGTATGAGCAAGTAGGGATCGTTCTAGGCTGGGGATTAGGAGGGATTCTAATCAACTTAAATTAAACTTAAAAACTAAAAACTAAGCTAGACTAACACAAAATAAGAAATGAGGAGGTTTTTTGACGAATTTTAAGAAACAAAAGTAAATAGCAGCAATTAAATTGAGTTGTAAAGGGAATATGGGTGAAAAGCTAGCTAGAGGATTCTTCTCCACACATGAAACATATGCACATAAATTGATTGTCAATGCACTAATTAATTCTCAGACTTTCCTAAGTTCATTGAATTGGACTCAGCGAAGCAACCAAATTATCCTTCTCAAGTTCCCTAACTATGAAAAGCATGATAGAGACACATATCAAAGGTATCAAGTTCTGTTAAAATCAGAAACATTGACAAGGCATTCGTAACTATGAAAAGCATGATACTCTTGCCATGGATTTACTTAACTCAATCATGACTAGTGACTTTTACTACTTATAAATATAAGTTCATAACGATTAGGTGAAATTCCCTTATATTCTAGCATTAAATCCCTACATGCAAACTAAGTATGCATCTTTAATAAACATACAAGAATAAGTTCTTTATAAAATAGATAAGTAAATTGCATTCATGTTTTATGAAACAATAACTGGATGTAATCAATTTATATAAAACATATGATCATGGCTTTGAATTCACCTCTAGCTAAAAAGAAATTTAGTTACACATGTTCATCATAATTGAAAAGCAATCTAAAATAAAAATTGAAACTAAACAAGGATAGAAAAAAACTCTTAAAATCTCCAATGGTTGAATGCAATATGCGGCACACTTCTTCTTCTCTGATCTTTGTAGGTTGCGGCACAAGCTTTGAATAAGGCATGCGGCACAAGTCTTCTCTCCAATTGTTGCGGCAAAAATACATATATATAGGGTAGGGTTCGGCATAACCCAATGAGAAAAAGGATTAGGGTGTTTGAATGGATTAGGACTCCTAGAATCATATGGGAAGTATTTAGAATAGGATAAAGACTTCTTTTGCAGCTAGAGATAATATGAGATAATGTTGTATAAAATGGGATAATGTTTGGATAAGGTAAAATAAGATAAGGTAAACTGGATAAGATAAGATAAGTCTGGATAAGATAAGTCTGGATAAGGTTGGATAAGATTATATCTTTCCTTGTCTTCCAAGCTTCCAAATTTGATTCCTCCAGATTTTAGCACATATTTAGCACATGTTAAACACCAAAAACGTCCAGCCCCACTGCTCCACACGCATGTTATCCAATCCAAGTCCAAAACTGCTCCAAATTGCTCCATTTAGCCATTTATTGTCATCTTTACCAATTAGACCTACAATAATACGAAAATAACTTAAATTACGATAATAAATGGAAATTAACTAAGCAAATGAAAAGAAATAAGATAACAAAGTCGCATAAATATGCTTCTATTAGATAGGAGGCTTGCTGATCCATGGTAAGTTTTATGACGAGGTTGTTCCTAGCGTGGAGGAATTTTCTCATTGTAATAGCCGAGGATTGCCTGCGAGTTGCCGCTATTTGTTTTAGGCACATCACACGCTTTCCCAAGAGCCTCAGGGTAAGTCAAGTTTCGGGGCCCAAAAGGATTTTGGTCCACAAGGCCCATTATGTTTAAGTTGTATGACAACTAAAACAAAATGGGCAATTAACCCCATAACTAACGGATGGCCGACCATAGGGTGAGTGGTAGTGAACTTGGCATAATTGCAAGTTTGCCACTCAAATGTGAGGTGTTGTAAAAGGAATTTTCTAGCTTTACCACAGGTTTTCTTTGAGGCAAAAGAGGAAAAATCCTTCTCTCTTTGTCTTCCAAAGAGGCCAGCCACACTTAGAGAAAAATAGCTAGCAATCTTCCTTCCTCTAAGTCATCAATTTCATCTTCACACCTCATCCTTGGTGTGGAGACTTAGAGACACCAAATTTTTGGTGTTCTTGGAGTTCCTCTCCTCAAATCCTCATGGAGCAAATGAGAAGCAAAGAAGCAACCATCCAAGGAGTAAAGGAGGTGACTTGAAGGCCTTCCACTTGGGTGAATCCCTTGTGTAAACAAGGATGAGCTTCAAGGGTAATGACACTTAAACTCTATATTTTCTTTATTTTGTCAAAGAGTCTTTTGCTTCACCATTCACTAGGCTTTGAAAGTCATGGGTTTTAGAATTGTTTTGAATGCATGCCTACTTTAAAGTGTTAATAGTTTGCTTATGTGTTCAAATGTTCTCACATGTTCTTAGCTAAAATAATTTTTTTTTCCTTCATCATCAGCTCAATGCCTTACAATATGTTGATTCGTCAATGATGATCCCGATGCAGACATACATTGTATCATCTTTTACGAGAACTAGACCGTGATTAGATTCTCATTCCTGGAGATATGTAGACAATCTGATTTCGATTCAATCACAACCCCTATCAAATCATCATTCTTTTATTATAAAATTTAAGTTTGATTATCTTGCAGCTTTTATCTGTTTGTTCATTCTTTTTCTTTTTTGCAGTACAGGGGATACCTAAAAGCTAGAATAACATGCATCTTTAAAACTTCGTATAATTGCAAGTCTAAAAATTCTAGGTGATGGTGTTAGAGGAGTCTCCTATAACCAGTAAGGTGGTGTTCCGATTAGCAGCTTAAGAGGCTCTAGTCATATTAAGTGTAGTTGTAATAAGACATACTACGGATACAGGGACATGGCCCCCTGATCGAAAGTCCAATGCACCATCCGGTTTCCGTAAAGATTATACAACCTAAGGGTTTTGGGTTTATAACGTTCAAACTTGGGCTACTCCAATCGAGGGAATAATAAAAAAGGTGATCCATAAATCATTTGAGTGGTGGCTCTGAACTCCGACGTTGAGTATGATTACTTATTTCCTAGACTAGTGTACTAAGCCAAGTACGTTCTGTGGCACCATCTGTCTAATGCAAGTTCGGATGAAGCATCCAGACTAGCAAATCCTCAAGAGGAATTTTATTCCAGTGGAGCTCCGATACGCGAAAGTGCCTTAATCAAGTCATTTACGCGTAGTCCAATTGAAAATGCTCAAGTACGGCGCATAGGGTCTGACACAAGGATTCCAAAGGTGTTTCTTACCCACATGTAGGCAACTAGGTTTATAAACAAAACTTTTGTCTAACATTCACTGGGGATAGACATGCAATTCAGGCTAAGAAGAAATCCTCTTCTTGGTGACACATTGCGTTTACTAAAATCCTTAGGCCCAAAATGGGGCAATGTGAACCAGCAAATATGCATAAAGTAATGATAAAACAAAAAAGTACAAAAGACACCAAGAAAACTGGAGACCATTCCAAGTATGACTCAACATTTTCTCATCCTTAATCTGATCAATGCATTAAAGCAAATCTGGGGCAAAAGGTTTTTCATGGATTCAGTACCTAGTGTCATGAAGGAAATTATTTGAGAAACTAAGTTTATTAAGCAACATAAGACATGCATTTAACAATTAAATGGCGGAAGCATGCTTGTATTTACTTTAAAACAAAACTTAAACCATGAAATCCAAAGCCTAGTAGTGGTGGTGAACCATGACTCAATTCAAATCACAAAAGAGTTGAGAAACTTTTATACCTTTGAAGCATCGCTTTGCTTAGCAATTCATAGGCCTTCATTCCTTTGTCTCCATGCTCATTGGCTCCATGGGTGTGGATGGAGGAACTTGTTTCTTGGATCCATGACTTCTTGGATTTGGGTGGAGGAATTGGATTCTCCTCGACTGGTATAAATACATTAGAGTTCATTTCTAGTAACATAATAATTGCACACTTATTCTCTTACCCACTGCTTGAGTCTCTTAATATTGCTTACTAACTTGATCGTCGAAGAGTTTTTTGCCAAGACCACCTTTAGTCCTTGGCTGCTTACTGTTGTTTGTTGTTTTAAAGGTTAAATGAGTTTGTACATCTCCTCCACATACGGTGGTGCGCAAATTTGGTTCTAATTGAGTCTTTTAATATTTTTTTTGGTTCCAGTTAAACATTTTTTATTTAAAAACAAAATAAATAAATCATGGTCATGTCGAGACATCTTTTAGATGTAAATAGAATTTTTCTATAATTTATTCTAGGGTAAATTACATAGTAGCCCCTTAGGTTTGAAGTCTATTACAACCTCATACAACAACTTTAAAACATTTCACTTTCATACCTCCAGTACCATTTTATTTCAAAATAACACCTTCGTTAGATTTTCCATCCATTAGTCTGTTAAATGCTGACGTGGCTGCCACATTTGTGCTGATGTGGCTGCCACGTGGCAAAAAAAACCTAAATCTTCTAAATGTTAAAATTAAAAAAAAATTAAAAAAAACTAGAAAAACCCCATATACTGAGCGCAAAACCTCTCCATCTCTTCCCCTCCTTTGTCCTTGCACGCCTCCTCCTTCATCTCCGCAAGGACGTCATCCCAGTTCCTCCCAAACCCATCGTCTCTGCCACCCCAGAAGCCATCCACGTCTTCCAATACGATTGCGTCCACGATCCGACGGCTCACCTTTCTCCTCGCTTCCCTCACCGTGGGGTCCGAGTCTAGCTTCAACAGCAGCCGCATTAGGGACTCATTCATCCTCAGCTTCTCGCGCTCGCTTGTCCTGACGGAATCAACAGTTTCTTGCCGTTGGATCAGGCGCTGGAACTCGTCGGCCTCGGAGTGGACGGCTGCGATTGTTTTGAAGTGGGTGCGGATGAGGTGGGCCCGGTAGGCCGATTGAATTTTGATGGTTGCGGTGGATTGTGGTAAGTGAAGGGTGATGGGAATTGGGGCATTCGAGGACTGGATGGGAATTTCGGTGGTGGCGGGAGGGGTCTGCAACTGTGAGAAGGTTTCATCATCTTTGGCTAAGCCCTGGTGAATTTGAGTGAGTGAAAAAGGGTGGGGGGGTGTGTAGAGAAGGAAAGAGGGTGGGTGCGGAGGGAGGGAGGGAGGGTCGCGGGTGGGGGGGGTGGGGGTGGGGGTGTTCTGGGTTTCTGGTTTTGGGGGTGGGGGGACGCGGGTGGGGTAGGGTGGGGTGGGAGAGGGGTTATCATTTATGGATTGCAGGGAAGAAGATGAAGATGGGGGATATGGGTTTAGGGGTTGCGGGGAGAATAGAGGATTTTGGGAGTTGCAGAAGGGTGGGGGGAAGGAAGGGAGACAAAGGAAGGGTTTTTCTAGTTTTTTTTTAATTTTTTTTAATTTTAATATTTAGAAGATTTAGGTTTTTTTTGCCACGTGGCAGCCACATCAGCACAAATGTGGCAGCCACGTCAGCATTTAACAGACTAATGGATGGAAAATCTAACGGAGGTGTTATTTTGAAATAAAATGGTACTGGATGTATGAAAGTGAAATGTTTTAAAGTTGTTGTATGAGGTTGTAATAGACCACAAACCTGAGGGGCTACTATGTAATTTACCCTTTATTCTAAATAAAAAAATAAAAAAATAATATTTTTTAACCGAAACTAGGTTGAGCCAAATTGAACTTATTCGGGCCAAGCCATGATTTAAAACTTTATAAAGCTCAAGCCTTGACTGCCCACAAGCGCAACAACAAGCTGGGCACCAAAGCACTAGCTCATCGGGTCGTAGCCAACCCACCTCAAGCAATGGCCCATGAAAGATTAGCGCTAACTAAGAAAAACCTTAGGTGTTGGCATAGATCAAAAGAAGTCAAACAAAACCAAAAGAATAGAAGTAACACGTGGTGTATCAGCTCAAGTTCTAAATACATGAAAAAAATCTTCCAAGTATTGAGAGGGAACCATGGAGTCCTATGATCGCCCATCATGTCTTATGTGGCACTATCAAAACCAATCAAAGTGAGCCTCTTATCCAGGACAGAAAGGCTACCAATCAGAAGCCACGTGTCAAATACTCATTTAAACTCACAGATTTCACCGAATGAGATTATATCCCTAAAAGAAAATTTTTATTTGAACCCTTGTAACCTTTTTCTATACCCAACTTACTCTTTCCACCCACATTAATTTTAATTAAACTATCAATATCTCTTTAAATTCAAATTTACTACCTAAACTACCCTCACAAACCTAATTCAATTTATAAATTTATCTCTACACCCATTTTAAAAATACAAATCCAAAATTTGCAAATAGAAGTCCATTTCAAGTTAGGACTACGAAAAAGTAGACAAATTCATTATCTACGCAATATGATCGTCCTTGCAATCATTTTATGATAGGGTCACCAATCAATAATATTTCAACTTCTGTTTCACTAAACTAAATCGTGAAACTATAAGAACCATGCATTGGGTTTTTTTGGAGAGAGCTCATCAAAGTTGAAATCAAACCACCTACTGAAGTACAGCCTTTTTCTCCATGGATATGACATAGGGTAATTCAAGTTATTTTGTAATTGTATGGGATACAACAGATTTACTTGAATTTAGTAATGTCTGGAAAAGTGCTTGTTTGATTTAATGTGTGTTCATATCTTTCCTCAGAGTTTAATCAATAATCATTTTTCACAGCTTCAGACCTTGAAGACTAGTGCAGATCCCGAACGCCCTGTACGGTTGATCAACACTTACTTGCGTGAGGTTGACACAATCTTATCCAATTGATAGGGGAAAAGTACCCCTCTATCCATACGAGAAGCAGATGATGTTTCAATGATTGCCAGTTTCATGGCTTGAATGAATCTTGTCTCATCCTTAATATTGTATCGAAAGAACCATGCACTAGAAGGCCGGATGAAACCATTACATGGATTATTTGGATGAAACAAGGTGATGGTAGGCTTTAGTTATAAAGTGTGGGTTTATTGATAAGTTTTAGTTTTATTGTTAATTTCATTTCGTACTTGATGGTAATTATACAATAGAGTAAAAAAAAAATTAAAATTGAAGTTTAAGTTAGGTGTAGAAAACGGTTATATGAGTTCAAATAAAAATTTTCATCCAAAATCCAGTTATATGGTCCAAAAGATAACTCGCTCACTCAACTCACTCACTCAAGCCCAAATTCAATTCCCGTTTCTACTATTAAGTTGTTACCCTTAGTAATTCAGGCACCTTCATTCGAGCTTAAACCATTACCAAATCATTTGAAGTACATTTTCTTGGGAGACCAAGAGACTTTGCCAATCATAGTCTCTTCTATACTCACGGCAGGAGAGGAGGAGAAATTGGTTAGGGTATTGAAGGAGTACAAAACGGCCATTGGATGGACCTTGGCCAATATAAAAGGAATAAGTCCTACAACATGCATGCATCGCATACTTTTGGAGGAGGGGGCTAAACCATCTCGAGAGGCTCAACGCTGACTAAACCCTCCAATGATGGAAGTTGTGAAGTAGGATATTATCAAGCATCTTGATTGTAGAGTGATCTACCTAATTTCGGATAGTCGTTGGGTTTCATCGGTTCAAGTTGTTCCAAAGAAATCGGGAGTCACTGTGGTGAAGAATGTAGAAAACGAACTTGTGCCCACCCATATCGAAACAAGTTGGAGAGTTTGCATCGATTATTATAGGAAGCTCAACGCCACCACAAGAAAGGATCACTTCCCCTGCCATTCATTGATCAAATGCTTTAAAGGTTAGCTAGTCATTCATTTTATTGCTTTCTTGATGGTTATTCGGATATAATCAGATTGTTATAGCTCCGGATGATCAAGAAAAGACCATTTTTACTTGTCCATTTAGTACCTTTGCTTATCGTCGAATGCCATTCGATTTATGCAATGCACCAACCACGTTTCAAAGATGCATGGTAAGTATCTTTTCAAATTTTGTTGAGAATATTATTGAAGTCTTCATGGACGATTTTATTGTTTTTGGTGATTCGTTTGATGATTGTTTAGCTAATCTCACATTAATCTTGAAACGATGCATCGGAACTAGCCTTGTTTTAAATTGGGAAAAATGTCACTTTATGGTAAAACAAGGCATAGTTTTAGGTCACATAGTTTCAAAAAAAGGAATTGAGGTTAATAAATCGAAAATAAATCTTGTATGCTACTTACCCTCTCCCACTTCGGTGAGAGAGGTTCGGTCTTTTCTTGGACATGCAAGATTCTATAGACAATTCATCAAAGATTTCTTGAAGATCTCCACACCCCTATGATGACTCCTACAGAAGGATGTGCCATTTAAGTTCGACGATGAATGTGAGAAGACCTTCAATCACCTCAAAAAGATGCTAACTTCGGCCCCCATCATAGTTCTACCAGATTGGAGTCTTCCTTTTGAGCTTATGTGCGATGCCTCAGATTATGCAATAGGGGCTGTTTTGGGCCAAATGAAGGACAAGCAGCCGCATGTCATCTATTATGCATCTCAGACCTTGGATGACGCTCAATTGAACTACTCCACCACTGAAAAATAACTCTTTGTTGTTGTGTTTGCTTTAGATAAGTTTCGTTCTTATTTACTTGGAACTAAAGTCATCATTTATTTTGATCATGCAGCTTTGAAATATTTACTCACAAAGAAAGAGGCCAAACCAAGGCTTATTCACTGGATGCTTCTTCTCCAAGAGTTCGATATCGAAATCCGAGACAGGAAATGAAGTGAAAACGTGGTGGCTGACCACTTGAGTCGTTTGGTACACGATGAGGAGCCATTACCCATCCCAGAAGCATTCCCAGACGAGCAACTACTGTCCATTGAGGTAAGTGAGCCATGGTATGCCGATTTAGTGAATTATTTGGTGTCTAAACAAGTTCCAAGCACCTTAAACAAGCACCAACATGACAAACTTAAAAAGGATGCACGGTTTTATGTGTGGGATGACCCATACTTATGGAAATATTGCCCTGATCAGATTCTTCGTAGGTGCGTGCATGATTCTGAGTTTAATTCAATTTTAACTTTATGTCACACTTATGCATGTGGGGGTCATTTTGGCACTTAAAGTTCTAGAATGTGGATTTTATTGGCCTACTATATTTAAGGATGCTAGAACTTTTTGCATAACCTGTGATCGTTATCAAAAGACATGGAATATAGGTCCAAGAGACCAAATGCCGCAAGCCCCAATCTATTCTGTCAAAATTTTTTATGTTTGGGGTATCGATTTCATGGGTCTTTTTCCTTCATCTCATGGTTTCAATTATATTTTACTTGCGGTTGATTATGTATTGAAATGGGTGGAAGCAAACGCCACCTGTACTAATGATTCCAAAGTGGTTGCAGATTTTGTCAAAACTAACATATTTGCCAGATTTGGGATGCCAAGAGTACTTATAAATGATGGGGGTTCCCATTTTTGCAATCGAACCATTGAGGCACTGCTCAAGAAGTATAACGTCATGCATAAGGTTTCAACACCTTATCATCCTCAAACAAGTGGGCAAGCTGAGGTTTCTAATTGAGAAATCAAGCAGATTTTGGAGAAGACAGTTGGGCCAACTTGAAAAGATTGGAGCTTGCGTTTGAATGATGCACTGTGGGCGTATTGTACAACCTACAAAACGTGCCATCTTCCAGTTGAGTTGGAGCACAAAGCGCATTAGGCAGTCAAAACGTTCAATATGGACATAGATGCAGCTGGCATTCATAGGAAGCTTCAATTGAATGAGCTTGAGGAGATTAGGAACGAGGCTTATGAGAACGCTCATATTTACAAGGAGAAAACGAAGGCATTCAATGACAAGATGATTTGAAGAAAAACATTTTTTATGGGGCAGAAAGTGTTGCTTTTCAACTCCTGCCTTCGATTTTTTCCAGGTAAGTTGCATTCTAAATGGGTTGGTCCTTTTGTTGTTACTAATGTCTTTCCTTATGGTGCAGTCCAAATTCAAAGTTTAAAGACAAGACATGAATTCAAAGTTTAAAGACAAGACATGAATTCAAAGTGAATGAACACCGTTTGAAGCCCTACTACGAGAATTTCGAGGAGCATGTCATGGAGGAAATACCCCTCCATGCCGTGAACCCTAATGGAGCCTAAAAGGAGGTATCGTCCAGCTGGAAGACGTTAAAGCAAGCGCTTATTGGGAGGCAACCCATGCGTTCAAATAAAGAAGACCTAGGAATCTTCGGCTCCAAAACCAAATTTGCATTCCTTAACCCTACTCTTTATTGCTTTTACTTTTCCATAATTGTCATGTCTGTTAGTTGTGTTGTTTGATTGCTTGCGTGTGAGTTTATGTTTGAAACATTGAGGACAATGTTTGGTTTAAGTGTGGGGGGGTAAACAAAGTGTTTTTCATGAATGTTCATTGGATTTCACCACCTAGCACTTCTAGAGTTGTTACTCACTATTTTTAAGTGTTTTTATTGTGTTTTGAAGTGTTTTAGTGTGTTTTGAAAGAAAAATACGAAAATTTGAAAAAAAATAGAAAAAGTTTGAAAAACCCAAAAAGAGTCGTTTTTGTGTGTTTGTGTCTTAGGGTACCTTCCAACACAATAATGAGGATTTGGTTTTTAATTGCATGACTGTTAAAGAAAATTACAAACATGGGTGGAAGTTTGATATGCTCTTTGGTTAATACTTGGTTGTAGTTGTCATTAACGAATTCACATGTAATCACAAAGGAAAAAAAATTAGTTTTTGTAACATGCTTAAAGGAAGGAACTCGAACTAACGCTACAACCCTGAGAGACTTGAGCCTATTCCTTGTTTGGAGAGTTATTAATCTGTGATATTCTTGTTTTCTAAAGTCGTTGCATGATCTCATTATTTCTTTGTTTGGTTGCCACTTGGAATGCTTTTTCATCATTTAGTTCTAAATACTAGAACTGATTGCCGTTTCATTCAAACCTTAAAATTGATTGCATAACAAGGACAAGATGAAGTTGTTTAGGTACCAGAGCCAAAAAACCTTATTCCCTTGCATATGTTTTGTAGGTTTAACCCCTTTGAGCCTTATTTAGCCTATTTTCTTTGTTAGCCTACATTATCCCTACCTAGCCTAGAATATGACTATCCATACCCTTGTTCTTAAAGAATAGTGAAGCATGACTTGTTGGGAATTCCTTTTTATCGACGTTATGCAGGAAAAACAAGTGTGGGGGAAGGTTTTTCATTGGAAATCTATAAGGGTGTACGTTTTGTGTGCCAAAGAGAAGGGCACGAGAAGAAAAAGAAAAAAAAAGACGTTGAAAGAAAAAAAAAAGAGAAAAAGTTGAGAAAAGAAAGAAAAAGAATTCAAAATAAGCGAGAATGAGCTCACAAGTATTGGTTGTTAAAGGAAAGGTTCGAAAGTTTGAATCTGGCCCTAAGTGTTTTGTGAATCTCCCATGGGTGTTTAAAGTTGGTTTCTGCAATCAAAAGTTGAATTCTAAGTGTTGATTTCATTACTTTGCTTACTATCACTTTAAGAACCTTTGTTTATCCTTGACTATTCTGTTAGCCAATACCTTAGCCCCGTTACAACCCTTAGACTTCAATCTTGATTGTTGTGTGTTCAATATGTGGAGTTTGAAATTGGTACGAGCATATGGAATCCCTAGTTCTTGCGTCTAAGTAGTGGCATTCCGTTCATGAGATCATATATACTTGCATTAATAATTCCAGAAAATGCCTTCTTTGATTATAGCATATGTGAGTGCTAGTCTACATGTTTACATCAATCTTCTCACATATACTTAGTATAGGGAGTGTAGTCAGAAAATCTGTGTGAAAATAGAAAGTATATCCAGTGAGGAATTGAGGGAATTCTCTAAGGCATGTTACTACATTCAAAATGTTGTTTTAATTGATTAAATGCGAGCTAGTGAGTTGTGACTGCAATTAAGTATGAGCTCGGGGGTAAGGATAGCAAAAATTTATATGCGTAGTGATTTTTAACGTGTCATGTTTCATTGGAAATCCTTGAGGCGATCGTTGGAATGTTTAGGTTATGTTTTGTTTGTTTTGTTTTGCTCAAGGACTAGCAAAAGCTAAGTGTGAGGGAATTTGATAGGAGCATATTTATGCGACTTAGTTAGCTGTTTCCTTGCATTTACATAGTTAGTTTCTACTTTTTAGAGTGTTTTAAGCCATTTCGTGTGTTTGTAGGTTCAAATGAAAAAAGTGGCAAGAAAAGGCAATTTGGAGCATTTTAGAGCAGTTTTGGGCTTGGAATTGACAGCATATGAATGGAACATAATGGATGGACGTTTTTGAAGTTTAAAGAGGGTAGGAATGTGCTACAAATCAGGAGGAATCAAATCAAGACTTGGAAGATAAGGAATCAGCTAAAAAGAAGGAACATTATCCAAACTAACCTTATCTTATCCTATCCTATCCTAATCTTATCCTACCTTATTTCCAGCTACAAGGGGAATTCCTTTTCATATTAAACCACATGTTATCTGGTTCTAGAAGCCCTAAGATTGTGTCGAACCACCCTATCCCTTTCCCCCTAGGAATCTGCCGCACCCTAGATCCTTGTCCCTGTTAGTTTGTGATGTGCAATCCCTTTCCAACACAACCTTTGGAGTGCCAAATCCTTCTCCAAAACTACCTTGTGCCTTGTGCCCTAGCCCTATAAATACACCACAATGCCGCACCATTCAGGACCATCACACACAAGAGCCTAAAATCAGAAAAACAAATTTGTGTTACAGCTTTGCAAGGAAGGAGAAGAAGAAGCTTGGAGCCGTGCCTTCCATTCAAGACCTTTGGATTGTTGGAGCGTTTCTAGGTGTATTCTATCTTTTGTTTTCAATGTTTAATTTTAATTGTCTTTATTTAATTGCAAACATGTGGAACTAATTTCGTTTTAGCTAGAAGTGAATTCAAAGCCATGAACATATGTGTGATATGAATTGATTACATTCAGTTATTGTTTCATAAATCGTGAATGCAATTTACTTATCTGTTTGATTGATAACTTATTCTTGTATGTTTATTAAGGAGGCCTACTTAGTTTGCATGTAGGGATTTGATGCTAAAATATAAGGGAATTTCACCTAATAGTTATGAACTTATATTTACAAGTAGTGGAGGTTGCTAATCACGATCGCATTAAGTAAATTCCTAGCAGGAGTATCATGTAGTTCATGGTAACGAATGTCATGTCAATGCTTATGATTTTCACATAACTTAATGATCTTTGATATGTATCTCTATTATGCAGTTCATGTTGGGAACTTGATAAGAATAATTTGGTTGCGTCGCTGAGTCCAACTTAATGAATTTAGGAAAATCTTATGGTTAATTTGTGCAGGTCACGGTTAACTTAGGGCATTGTCATTCATGGTTTATAGGAAGAATAATTGGAAATTGATTTGTATGCATATGTGTCATGTGTGGAGAATGACCCTCTAGCAAGCCTTTCACCCCCCTTTAATTCACCCAATTCCGTACCCTTTAGTTTGTTTACGCAAGTTTGTTTGTTTAAGTCTTAAATTCGTCAAAACAACCCCCTATTTAGTATTCTGAGTCTTTTTAGTTTAATTTTCGTCCAAACATCCCTTTAGTTCTTGTTTCGAGTCAATTTAACTTAGTTTTCTGTTTTTTAGTCTAGTTTAGTGATTTAGAGTTTAATTTGTGTAGATTAACATCCCTCCTAATCCCTGGCTTAGAACGATCCCTATTTACTCATACTACAACCGTCTAAAAAGGGTTTAATTTGTGTGCTATTTTATATCACATCAATAATTTGTAATTAAATTAATTTTATAGTTAGGGTTCATTTGAATCAAAGATTCAAAAGGGGAACTGGGTTAGGGTTCTTTTGAATCAAAGATTCAA